AACTGTACAATGCGTTGGAAGGTATTACGAGGATTTGCAAAAAGAACAGATGCCTAAGTTTAATGAACCCTGTTAAGAGCTGGAACGACGCTACCTACTTCTTTGTATTTACACAATCAGGGTATGGTAATTACTTGCAATAACACTAAAACGGCACCATTCGTTGTATGAAATTAGCTTTTACCTGCGATTCACCGGTAAAGTGTGCTTTATGAAGAGGTTATCCTGCCTTAGGGCGGTAATGTAACGTTAACGTCTGCTATCTTTAATTCGTCCTCATCCACTACGAGAACAGCCTCTTGCTGCATTTCACATGAAGTGAAAAAAAGTGAGGTTTTAAAATTCGTTCATGCTGGGCATGTTTGTACATCTAGTAGGTGTGAAAGAGAAAACGTTAGTCTTTTCGTGGAACGTTCATTGCTAAGTTACAGGCTTCAGGTCTTTTCGAATTGAAAGTATATTATACAGGGTGTTTCTTAACGGTATGCGAGAATTTAAGGGTGTGCATCTACATGAAAAATTAATGTTAGTTTGTACATTTAAAAGTTTTTGTAAGGAAACATTTTTGGACCATAGTTTATAAGGCAAACTAACAGGAATTTTTCCCTTAAATATTCGCATATCATTAAGGATATGAAACATACCGTTTTATTTAGGAAATATTCTATACTTTTTGGTAAAAAACAGAATTCCAAATTAAAAAAGAAACTTAGGTGCTAAACCGGATGTAAACATTTCAAACCAAAATTTCTCTCTAATAATGATTTTAAATTAATTTTTACATAAAAAATTTGGTTCGAAATTGAATTTGAAATTTTTTATCAAAAAGTACAGGAAATTTCCTATGACATGAAAAAATATCCCAATATATTCTACAATCCGAAAAATCTCAACGTGCCAGGAAAAAATAATCATTTTTTTTCTCTTTCACACCTACTAGATGTACAAACACAGACAAAATTCAAACGAATTTTTCGCCGTCTATTTCACGTGAAATGCCCCAATTGTATATATTAAATAATCGACTAAAAATTTCAGTCCATACTTAGATATATTGCGTATAATAATTGCGGATTAAATGAATACTGAAATAAAGATCTTGCAAAAAATCCTATAGTTATTATATGACGATATTTGGTAATTTTTTTAACAAGTTTGCTATACCTATACATATTAATACAGGTTGAGAAACATCCTGATTGCATGCATTCAATAATCATAAAAAGGGGCACTCTATGAATTTCTGTACAAGTATCTGGACAGTATTGTTGTTTACTTTACAGGCAGTATTTGTTCATATATTGCAACGCATTAACTAGTTAATAGGAGATTATGATAGAATCAAATATTCAAACTCGGTGGCGAAAGCACCTAGCAAACAGTCTGGTTGGAAAATATTTTGATGAAATACCTTTAAAGAATGGACAGTTGAAAGAGGGTAGACATGTCACTACGGGCGTACCTCAAGGATCTGTCTTGAGGCCATTATTGTTACAATATGAAGAATAGCTTTGTAGAGATTTGTTATTCCAAATATCACACTGAGTCCAACCATAACTGAAGAACCACTAAGCTACTGAATCATCGAAATACCATAAACAATCAGCAGAGCCTCCCATCACCATCAAAATAATCTGTGTCCATGAGTTATCCCGAGAAGATATAGCCAGCTGCTTGATAAGTCAGAGCTTCTCTATGAATGGCTTGAGCTTCGTAAATAAATAACTCAAGAACCTGCATTGTTCACACAAGGCATCCTCAGTCCCACCAGCAACCATAAAGCTGTTGAAGAAGGAAGGAAGAAGCTACGTGTGTAAGAAGATAAATAACAAGAAGAAGAAGCCAGAACAATAACTCAAGAACCTGCATTGTTCACACATGGCATTCTCAGTCCCACCAGCAACCATAAAACTGTTGAAGAAGGAAGGAAGAAGCTACGTGTGTAAGAAGAGAAATAACAAGAAGAAGCCAGAACAATAACTCAAGAACCTGCATTGTTCACACATGGCATCTTCAGTCTCACCAGCAACCATAAAGCTGTTGAAGAAGGAAGGAAGAAGCTACGTGTGTAAGAAGAGAAATAACAAGAAGAAGAGGCCAGAACAATAACTCAAGAATCTGCATTGTTAACACATGGCATCCTCAGTCCCACCAGCAACCATAAAGCTGTTGAAGAAGGAAGGAAGAAGCTACGTGTATAAGAAGAGAAATAACAAGAAGAAGAAGCCAGAACAATAACTCAAGAACCTGCATTGTTCACCCATGGTATCCTAAGTCCTACCAGCAACCATAAAGCTTTTGAAGAATGAAGGAAGAAGCTGCGTATATAAGAAGAGAAATAACAAGAAGAAGAGGCCAGAACAATAACTCAAGAACCTGCATTGTTCACACATGGCATCCTCAGTCCCACCAGCAACCATAAAGCTGTTGAAGAAGGAAGGAAGAAGCTACGTGTATAAGAAGAGAAATAACAAGAAGAAGAAGCCAGAACAATAACTCAAGAACCTGCATTGTTCACCATGGTATCCTAAGTCCTACCAGCAACCATAAAGCTTTGGAAGAATGAAGGAAGAAGCTGCGTATATAAGAAGAGAAATAACAAGAAGAAGAGGCCAGAACAATAACTCAAGAACCTGCATTGTTCACACATGGCATCCTCAGTCCCACCAGCAACCATAAAGCTGTTGAAGAAGGAAGGAAGAAGCTACGTGTGTAAGAAGAGAAATAACAAGAAGAAGAAGCCAGAACAATAACTCAAGAACCTGCATTATTCACACATGGCATCCTCAGTCCCATCAGCAACCATAAAGCTTTTGAAGAAGGAAGGAAGAAGCTACGTGTGTAAGAAGATAAATAACAAGAAGAAGAAGCCAGAACAATAACTCAAGAACCTGCATTGTTCACACATGGCATTCTCGGTCCCACCAGCAACCATAAAACTGTTGAAGAAGGAAGGAAGAAGCTACGTGTGTAAGAAGAGAAATAACAAGAAGAAGCCAGAACAATAACTCAAGAACCTGCATTGTTCATACATGGCATCCTCAGTCCCACCAGCAACCATAAAGCTGTTGAAGAAGGAAGGAAGAAGCTACGTGTATGAGAAGAGAAATAACAAGAAGAAGAAGCCAGAACAATAACTCAAGAACCTGCATTGTTCACCCATGGTATCCTCAGTCCTACCAGCAACCATAAAGCTTTTGAAGAATGAAGGAAGAAGCTACGTATATAAGAAGAGAAATAACAAGAAGAAGAGGCCAGAACAATAACTCAAGAACCTGCATTGTTCACACATGGCATCTTCAGTCTCACCAGCAACCATAAAGCTGTTGAAGAAGGAAGGAAGAAGCTACGTGTGTAAGAAGAGAAATAACAAGAAGAAGAGGCCAGAACAATAACTCAAGAATCTGCATTGTTAACACATGGCATCCTCAGTCCCACCAGCAACCATAAAGCTGTTGAAGAAGGAAGGAAGAAGCTACGTGTATAAGAAGAGAAATAACAAGAAGAAGAAGCCAGAACAATAACTCAAGAACCTGCATTGTTCACCCATGGTATCCTAAGTCCTACCAGCAACCATAAAGCTTTTGAAGAATGAAGGAAGAAGCTGCGTATATAAGAAGAGAAATAACAAGAAGAAGAGGCCAGAACAATAACTCAAGAACCTGCATTGTTCACACATGGCATCCTCAGTCCCACCAGTAACCGTAAAGCTTTTGAAGAAGGAAGGAAGAAGCTACGTATGTAAGAAGAGAAATAAAAAGAAGAAGAGGTCAAAACAATAACTCAAGAACCTGCATTGTTCACACATGGCATCCTCAGTCCCATCAGCAACCATCAAGCTGTTGATGAAGGAAGGAAGAAGCTACGTGTATAAGAAGAGAAATAACAAGAAGAAGAAGCCAGAACAATAACTCAAGAACCTTCATTGTTCACCCATGGTATCCTCAGTCCTACCAGCAACCATAAAGCTTTTGAAGAATGAAGGAAGAAGCTACGTATGTAAGAAGATAAATAACAAGAAGAAGAGGCCAGAACAATAACTCAAGAACCTGCATTGTTCACACATGGCATCCTCAGTCCCACCAGCAACCATAAAGCTTTTGAAGAAGGAAGGAAGAAGCTACGTGTGTAAGAAGAGAAATAACAAGAAGAAGAAGCCAGAACAATAACTCAAGAACCTGCATTGTTCACACATGGCATCCTCAGTCCCACCAGCAACCATAAAGCTTTTGAAGAAGGAAGGAAGAAGCCACGTGTGTAAGAAGAGAAATAACAAGAAGAAGAAGCCAGAACAATAACTCAAGAACCTGCATTGTTCACACATGGCATCCTCAGTCCCACCAGCAACCATAAAGCTGTTGAAGAAGGAAGGAAGAAGCTACGTGTATAAGAAGAGAAATAACAAGAAGAAGAAGCCAGAACAATAACTCAAGAACCTGCATTGTTCACACATGGCATCCTCAGTCCCACCAGCAACCATAAAGCTGTTGAAGAAGGAAGGAAGAAGCTACGTGTGTAAGAAGAGAAATAACAAGAAGAAGAAGCCAGAACAATAACTCAAGAACCTGCATTGTTCACACATGGCATTCTCAGTCCCACCAGCAACCATAAAGCTGTTGAAGAAGGAAGGAAGAATCTACGTGTGTAAGAAGAGAAATAACAAGAAGAGGAAGCCAGAACAATAACTCAAGAACCTGTATTGTTCATCCATGGTATCGTCAGTCCCACCAGCAACCATAAAGCTTTTGAAGAATGAAGGAAGAAGCTACGTACGTAAGAATAGAAATAACAAGAAGAGGAGGCCAGAACAATAACCCAAGAACCTTCTGGTTACTAATTTTGTGCGTCACATTTCAGTTTAAAAATCACGAAGAGTTGAAACGAGGAACTGACAGAAGATTCTTCATCAAGCTTGTCGCTGCGTGATTTATCCCCTACCTAAAAAAATCCGTTATCTCCCTACCTGTCACGCTCATATCCACATGTGGATATGCGGTAACCGCAAAAGCTCACCGCGTTTCGATCAGTGGCCATAACCGCGTTTACAAACGACACCGCCGGTTCTTTCGTACTTCTTGCGCTCGTTGTCGCTGCAGAAATTTCGTAACCGCTGCCTGAAAGGACCCGAGGCGCGACAGCATGTCTTCGCGACTGATAGTTCTCTTCTTTTTGATATGTTGTGCAACGGCAGAAATTCGAGATGAAGAATTTGATCTGTTCCCTAGATTGCCCCTTGGTGTCATCGACACGGACAACGTTGTGTGCAAGAAACAGAGCAGGGTGTATATCGAGAATCTCAGGAATCTCTCTCTATGGGCCCATGAAAGTAAGATTTTTTTTTAACAAATCTTTATTCAACGGTCAATTTTTATAAATTTTAGTGTGAGCAAGGTTATCTAATCTGTGTTTAGAACATTGGCCTCGAGAACAGCAATTTTAACAACAACTCAAGTGACTTTTTGTGTTTTTACATAATTTCTGAATGAAAGTACATTCTTTACACTATTATATGTTTTTACTGCATCAGTGACAGGGTTATTTAATCCTGTATTGGTTCTAGTAGGAATCTTATTATATTATATTAATCATTGAGTGATACGAATTTTTGTATTACACTTTTGTCGGTTATTTAAAATTTTGAAAGTCAGTTTACATGATCCAATTTCAACAGCTTATATAGTTAACTAACATTCAATTCTGGGTTCATATTATCCGTATTGGCAACGCGGTCAAAATTCTTAATATCCTATTTTGATTTATGAAATTTCGTAATCAGGTTAATCGCTTTAAAATAAAGTAATCTCGAAATACTCTTCGGGGTCTTGTCGAGCAAGGTTTTGTTTTTAATTTAGATACTTGTCGACCTCGAAAATTATAATTTTTAACAGGGTTTTCAATATACCCGTGTTTAGGGCTTTTCAACAGTAAGGCGCTTACAGCTTTAGAGAAAATATAATGTAAATGGTATGATTGTTGGGATCGCCAAGTATATTAAGTGACATATATAGTAAATCCGAACACCCAGTTTAAATGGTTTTATTTTAATAAAATTTTGTGTAAGTACTTAATGAAGCCTAGTAAGTAAATAATTGAAATTTCAAAATGATGTGCTACGCATTCTCCAACGCGCCTAGGCATGCTTCTGATCAGGTGGTCAATGTCTTCCTGATATTTTTCAATACTGCAAAATTCAACTATTTGCTGATGATACATTAATATACTAAGTGACATATAAATCCGAACACCCAGTTTAAATGGTTTTATTTTAATAAAATTTTGTATAAGTACTTAATGAAGCGTAATAAGTAAATGATAAAAGTTTCAAAATGATTGCACTGCTTTAAAGCCCTTTGACTTTTAATAATGTGTGGATGCACCCTGATGTGCTACGCACTCTCCAACGCGCCTAGGCATGCTTCTGATCAGATGGTCAATGTCTTCCTGAGGTATCTCATTCCAGGCAACCACCAACTACTCTCGAAGTGCTTCTAGAGTATGAAACAGGGCAGATTGTATATAAAGAATTTGAGGAATGTCAGTCTTCTTTTGCATTTAGTTTAACACAAACAAAAAATACGTATTCACAGTAAACGCCGCATCTTTTTGTTTTATTTTCCTAATCGCGTTCTGTGAGGTCATAGAAGGTGACAGATACCTCATTATTTTTGTTAGATTGTGGACTCCAAATGAAAAAAAATAAAAATATGGAAAATGTGTATACGAAGCATGGTATAGTTTTTAGTAAGAAACTGAGGAATATCTCTGCTCGTATGAAGGTAAGCTCAAAACATTCGTTCATCTTACTCAAGAAGTATAAGCAGCATGTTATCTCAGTAAGCGCAGCATCGATTTTGTTGATATTTGATGATAATATTCTGCGACGTCATAAAGCGTGACACCATAATGTTTTTGAAAATCGTGAACTGGAAACTGAGAAATTTGCAAAAATAAAGCAAGGAGTGTCTCCCAATATTTTGTCAGTTTTTTTAATTTAATTTAACATAAACAAAAAATACGTGATCTCAATAACCGCTGCATATTTTTTTTTTAAATTTTTCTAATAGTGTTCCGTGAGGTCTTAGAAGGTGACAGATAACAACATTATTTTTGTTAAATTGTGGACTCAATATAAAAAAAAATTGAAAATAAAAAACCCCCAGTATCTTATGGAAAATGTGTATACGAAGCATGGTATAGTTTTTAGTAAGAATCTGAGGAATATCTCTGCTCGTATGAAGGTAAGTTCAAAACATTTGTTCATCTAACTCAAGAAGTATAAGCAGCATGTTATCTCAGTAAGCGCAGCATCGATTTTGTTGATATTTGATGATAAATATTCTGCAAGGTCATAAAGCAATGTTTTTGAAAATCGTGAACTGGATACTGAGAAATTTGCAAAATAAAGCAAGGAGTGTCTCTCAATATTTTATAGACAATATGTACACGTAACAGAGAATTAGAGGTATGTCAGTTTTTTTATCATTTAATTTAACATAAAAAAAATACGTAATCTCAATAACCGCTGCATCATTTTTTTTTTAATTTTTCTAATAGTGTTCTGTGAGGTAATAAAAAGTGACAGGCACCACAATATTTTTTTAAATTGTGAGCTCCATACAAAGAAATTTGCAAAAATAGGTAAAAATGTCCCCCAGTATACATTAGAAAATGTGTACACGAAGCAAGATAGACTGCATATTGAGAATCTGAGGAATCTCTCGCTTTGAACCCATGGAAGTAAGATAAAGATGGTGATTTATCTAACTCAACAAGTATGAGCAGAATGTTATCTCAGTAAACGTAGCGCCGATTTTGTTGAAATTTGATTATTGACATTCTGCGAGGTCTTAAAGAGTGACTTCACCATGTTTTTGAAAATTCTTGACTGGATACGACGGAATTTGCAAAAATGAAGCAAGAAACGTCTCCCAATGTTTTATGTACGATGTTAACACGAAACAGGGCAGAGAATATCGAGAATTTGAGGGATGTCAATCTTTTTTTTTCACTTAATTCAACACAAACAGGAAATACACAATCTCTCTCTGAAATGGCGTACTGTGGTCATTGAAGGTGAATTTTTGAAAATTGTGAACTCGATATCGAGAGATATGCAGGAATAAATACGAAAAGTCTCAAATATTTTATGGAAAATTTGTACATATAGACATTAATTGGAAAGTTGTGAAATATCTTTTTTTCATTTAATTTAAGAAAAACAATATTGTGGGGTATCGGACCATTCTAGTAGAGAAATCTTTTTCAAAAATTTTTGCTACACTGGAAATTATTGATATTGGTGTATAATAATTTTAAAATCTCTTTTTTTCTGGTTTATGTATTTATTTTACCTTTCTTTAAAATTGAGGGATTCAAACCATTTGTTGATTAGATAAGCGAGTGACTCTGTTATGAGGTTTAAATAAACATGAATCACCTATCAAGTTCACTATTTTTTACATAACTTAAATAAATAGCTTTCGCAAATGTTTAAAACGTTTAGATCAAATAATAACTTTGTAGTGCCAGAATTTGAAGCTAGCAGAATTTGAATCGATTTCCAATTTAAAATGATCATATTTCATTTGTTATACTGACATTGAACATTCTATACAGGGTGTCCCAGAAGTCGACGTCAAGCCGAAACCGGGTGATAGGCAAAGTCATAACAGCTAACAGAAAAATATTTAAAAAAATTTTATGTATGTGTTTTGAAAATTATAGGTCTTTGAAAAAAATATAGAAATTTCACACCCTACGGCAGTCTGTCAACTCCTGTTACTACAAATGTTAACTTTTTTTGGATTTTATTTTTACAATGTAATGATGAATAATGCATCTTCAAACTGGTGTCTCAACCTTACTGCCAACTTTTCTTGTTCAGGAAAAATTGCCACTTATTTCCCAACCAAGTATTCCAAAGTAAAACTTTGCTCAACTTTAACTGGCTCTACTGGAAAAAAGTTTACTACGAGAGTTTGGCAAGTAACCTTAAAAGTTGGCGCATTTAATAAGGATTCCAAAATGGTATAACACTTAGAAGATTACTCGTTAACTTATGCACAATTTTTATTTGAAGAAAAACTGATGAAAATTTTTCAAAATTTCCTAATTAAACAGCGATTATGAAAACGCACAAGGACCCTTAAGGATAACTGTTTGCACAACAGTGGGCATCAAAATGCTGCTGATGATCATTTACCTTTACAGCAAATGCTCAAACTGTTTTCCTTCAGCCGCAATGCACGCTCGACATCTTCTTAAAAAAGATCGGGTTATTAAACAAGCGAATCCACGCTTATTAACAAACTCAGCTGCTTCCAATAGTCTTTGCCGTAACTCAGCTACATTTTGAATCGGCTTGAAATACACTTTTTCTTTTACAGTTCCCCAGTAAAAAAAATCTAACGGATTCAAATCTGGTGACCGGGCTGGCCACGGTATTGTACCAGACCGCCCTATCCATCTGTCTGGAAAGTTTTGATCGAGGTACTCTCTCACTGAGAGTGCATAGTGCGCTAGGCAGCCATCATGCCGAAACCACAAGTCCCTGTAAATACTCAGTGGCACGTCCTCCAATAAATTTTGTAAATGATTTTGCAAAAAACCTAAATAAACCTCAGCAGACAAAGTCTCTGGGAACTCAAACGGACCGATTATTTTACCATTTAAAATTCCTGTCCAATGGTTTATCTTGAAACGATATTGAGATTTATCTTCTCTCATCAAATGTGGGTTTGCTACGTGCCACTCGTGTAACTTATGCAGGTTCATGTACCCATCTTTCTTAAATGTGGTCTCATCTGACCATAAAATTTTTTCAAAGAACCGTGGATCTTCCCTGTGTCTTTCTAACATTGTGCGACAAAAAGCAACTCGGGGCTCATAATCCCGGGGCAGAAGAGCTTGAACACGCTGTACGTGGTATGGATGGAGCACGTTTTTTTGCAAGATTCTATGGGCTCTACTTTTGGGCATACCTGTTTTTAGTTCTATTGCACGCACTGAAGTACTCGGGTCTTCTTCGACAGCTCCTAGCACCACGTCTTCGTAAGGAAGGAAAGATCTTCCCTCACCGTGTGATTGGTTTGGTAGTTGGCCCTCTGAGAACAGTAAGCAGTGCACATTTGTGAACACTCGATGATCTGGATGACGAGCTGCATTCGGGTACCTCTCACAGTAAAGTCTCGCTGCAGCACTAGCATTGCATCTGCATTCCCCATAAATGAGGTGCATGTTAGCATATTCTTGTACGGTCTACACGGACATAGCGGCACTGCACAATCACACTATCAAAGATAGTCTAAGGAAAGCAAATGTTGTTTT